AGTCATGGCTTTCTCTCAGAGAGCCTCAACACTTGTTTCACTGGGATACTCCTAGCAATAATGAAATGGCTGTGGGCTGTGCTCCCCTGAAGAAGGTCTGGAGCCCTCCATGGGACCTTACTGTGACTTGGGATGTGGCTCATGAAGAAGTCCGCTTATCGTCTTCCACTGTGGTGTTGGTCTTGCTTCCACTTGGCAGGCTAGGTATGTCCTGAAGGGCATGGAGAAGTTCGAAAAGCAAGCAAGATCAAGTGCCTATCTTGCCCCTTTCAGAGTGCTTTCTGTTTCCACCCCATTGTATGGTACCTGTTCATGCAAGACAAAGGCTTTCACTGGACTTTTCCTGCCTCTCAGCGTGCTGTCATCTTCTCTGTAGGTGGCATTCATCCCAGGAACCTTCGTTGCCTCTTCAATGGTGCAAATCTGAAGTGCAGCTGGGAAGTGAAGAAAGCGATTGCCAGCTCTGTCATCTTTGCCTTGTTCTTCAGGACCACTCCAGCATCAGCGTACGGGATCTGCCAGTGGCAGCACACTTACCTCTGCCCATCCTGTTGGGCTGCTGCTCTGTGCCATTCCTGCTGATCTCAGCACCACCTCCTTTTCTCCCCTCAGGGAAGAGGAGTGCTCTCCTGTGTACGAGAAGGCTTTGCCCCATGTGCCATATGTGGTGCAGAGCTGTGGGATCCCTGTTAGCAATATCAGCAGTTGGAGCCAGTACCAAGTGTCTGTGCGGACCAAGACAGAGGAGAAACTGATAGAAGCCTACAAGAACAGTGAGTTGCTGTGTGGAGTCTTGCCTCTCCTGGGAGCTTTTTGGGAGCGTGGCTGCATGGGCAGGATGTGATGAGGGCAGTCAGTGGGAGTGAGGAAAGGTGTTTGGGAGGAAGAAGAGATCTGACTTGGTAAGGGAAGCATAAGGTTGATGTTCTGGGTCACAGACTGGAGCCTGGGAGAGTTCCGCAAAGGTAGAAGAGATCACTTTGTAACTGAAAATCTTAGGAAAGGTGGTGTATGATACCAGAAGATGTTGAATGGGTGTGCTGGGTCTGTTTGTTGATATGTACTCTGGGATATTCTCTGTGTTCTAGTTAAGGTGCTGCCACCTGCAAATGTGTCAGTGGAACTGATGAAAAACCAAGAGTATGAACTGAGGTGGAAAAAACACACTTTACGGTATGGTTTCATAAGACAGCGGTATGAAGTCCAGTTCTGGAAGCACAACCAATATAAAAAGGTGAGTGATAAGAAGTGCAGGAGTCCTGGGTTTCTCTTTGCTTTGTGACTGGGGATATCAGTTCCTCTCACCTCTTTCATTTGTGCTTCTTTCCTCTCCCCAGACTGTGCAGACAATAAATATTACCAATGATGAACCTCCCTTCATCTTCACTGATCAGATGTTGTCACCGTCTACAAAATACAGGGGAAGAATGCGTGCAATGGTGAATAAACAGGATTATCAGGGATACTGGAGTGAATGGAGTGAGGAGTTCACCTGGGAAACTGAGAATGGTACTTTTCACCCAGGCAATTTTTGTCAGGTTTTGTGTACGGTGTACGGTGGATGAAATGCCTGTAGAGAAACACATACGTTCTTGTGATGGATGTTGCAGGTAGATCCAGACACGTAGCTGTGGTGGGGCTGCTTAACACGGTCACTGTTCTGTGTGCACCCTTTCAGTGCAGCAGGAACGCTAACAAAGGCAGTGAGCAGGATCGAGCTTGTAAGCATCTTTCCTGCTTGCCTTCCCCAGGCTAATACAGGTAGCTGTGAAGGTTTCCACGTGGAGAATCAAGAAAAGATCCTAGCCAAAGACCACTACTGTTTCCTGATCCCATTAATATATTCTGCTTTAAGGAACTGAGGAGCTTGAGAATGCAGGATGACAGGACAAA